AAATTTAAAAAATAAATCATTAAACCTGATATGAGACGTTTACAATGATTAGGGCCTCATTTAGATTAAGAAAAACACAGATGTAAATTTACGAGAAAAAAAGTTGGAATATTTGTGAGTTATACTATTATTAATATAAAAAAGAATATCAACATTACAAAAAAAGTTGTTACTATTATTAATATAAAAAAGAATATCACAAGATAAGGAGAATAAATTCAAAACATTACAAGAAAAAAGTTGTCATATTTAAGAATGGAAAATGTCACAACTTTGAGGTATAATAATCACAATCGAGTTTTTGACGATGTGATGCTGATGAGCTGATATAATATTGAAATTGAGGCCTGATAAAGTACTTTCCGTTGGTGCGTTTTTAAAACTAAATCTCTACAAACATGTCACACAACTGTTGTAGTTTTACAACATAAATAAAAAATATGTAAAAAACATTATAAAAAAAACGTATTTTCCCAAAACAAGATGTTGCAAAAATACAAAACCTGCTGCTAATGTTTGGAGATGTTAAAGATGGATTCAACTAATGTCTAATGTAACACTGAGTCTTAGTTTAGCAAAACACGTGGAGTGAGACGTGTTACTAATGTGTTACTAATAATCATGCATTCATGAGAAGATGACAATGTTGTTGTTGTTGCTCTGTAAACGTCTCCTCCATTTCACAGAACATTTACATCTCACTTCTGTTCTGAGTTGCTGCAACATTTAGATAAAGACCTTTAGCTGAAGTAGCTGAACGACAAATGAGTGAATGAGTGAGTGGCTCAAAAAGCCGCAAACAGAGGCTTCTATTCAGAGCCTGAGCAGCAGCAGCAGCAGCAGCAGCAGCAGCAGCAGCAGCAGTCTGATCATATCTGCTCGTTCAGTCTATTTCCATTTGATTTTTGCATTGAAGACGGTCGGAGGAAGAGTGATGTCACTGATGGCAGAGCTGAAAACTTTTTTCTCTTCATGATATTTCATACTCCGCAGCCGTGAGTCTTGCAGCAGAACTCCTCCTCCTCCTCCTCCTCCTCCTTCTTCACCTCCCTCTGCTGTAAGAATTCAAATTTGTTTGGCTGTGGGCCATTGAATGTGCAGAGAATAACACGGAGTCCAGTCTTTTCTGCGACCTCTCCCAGTATCTCTCTTTTCTTTTCCTTTCTTCCTCTTCCTCCTCCTCCTCCTCCATGTCTGCTGCATACTGTATGTGTGTCAGACTGAATCTGGTGACTGGACAGGAAGTGTGTTTTTAGAGTGAGTGTGTGTGTGTTCCGAGCAGCTGACACTGGTTTTATAGCAGGTTTCATAGTTGCATTCATGAATGAATGAATGACACGGAGACAGTCAACTCTCATTTGATGTTGCATGCAAAAAAAAAACTGTTAATGTCGTTGATCACATGATGAACACATGATGTTTGATCGACGTCTGAACTTGACAAAGACAAACCATCACTAGTTGGTGGGGAAACTACAGAGAGATAAACGTGTTTTTTCTTTTAATGTTTTGCATTTTAAGAACACAAAAACTGTGAGAATTCTTAAAACAAACTGATGAACAGTAACAGTAACAGTAACAGTCAGAGGCAGCGTCTAAATCACAGCAGTGTTTCAGTCAGGGCTGCCACTGTTCCCATGTCCATTGTGTAAAGTAGGAAGTTTAGGAAGTGAGTGTCAGAGAGTCGTGTTAAAAACAAACTTTCCTCAGACTTAAAGCCACAGCGGCGGTTTGTTTGTTTGTTTGTTTGTTTGTT